ATTGGTCAGCCGGTTAGCGCGGTCGATGCTAATAATAAAAACACACACACACTAATCGGCTGACCAATTAAAAGCACTCACACACATAAAAGCGTACACACACACACGCGATAAAGAGAAAAACAAGACACACACTCACGAACAGCGGATAGACGCAACACAAACGCGGCGCGCAAGCTGCTGCAGACCCGAAGAGCTGTACGCAGCGCAGAGGCGCACCATGCCTTGTGCGGACGGTGAGCTGTGCCACCAACCAGACAAGACGCCGCAGGCCCCTCATGGCCACGTCTGTCATGGAGGATGTGGCGGGCGGCTCCACGGCAACTGCGGCAGCATGGTTGGCGNACACACACGCGATCAAGAGAAAAACAAGACACACACTCACGAACAGCGGATAGACGCAACACAAACGCGGCGAGCAAGCTGCTGCAGACCCGAAGAGCTGTACGCAGCGCAGAGGCGCACCATGCCTTGTGCGGACGGTGAGCTGTGCCACCAACCAGACAAGACGCCGCAGGCCCCTCATGGCCACGTCTGTCATGGAGGATGTGGCGGGCGGCTCCACGGCAACTGCGGCAGCATGGTTGGCGACATCGAAACAAGGCGAATCTGCTGCTCGTGCGTCGCAAGAGCTGGCAAGCGCAAAGAGATACCAGCTGAGGGTGCTGAGGGTGCTGGGGCGGGACCATCTCAACGCCCGACGAAGAAGAAATTTCTTCCGGCTGCGATGAGGAAGATGAAACGGAAGATGGCGGTGGCGGTGAGAACACGGGGCGCGAGCGCCGTGCTCCACCGGCTTATAGTGAGATGTCACCTCACTTCGGCGTCCTGGAATCGGCAGCAGATGAGAGTGGCAATGGAGACGCGGCGTTCCATCTGCAGAAAGAAAAATGGCGATGATCGCAGCGCATGCCGCTAAGCGGGTGCGCCAGGTAGACATGAGAGAGTTTGTCGAGACGTAGTGAAGGCGGCGGGTGTACGTGGTTGTTTTTTTTTCCTTGCAGTCAGCTAGTCAGCTTCCTATGCGCCTTTCTCGTTTCTTTTTGTTTTTTTTCCCGCAACATCGCAGCGGGTG